ACGGAAGCGACTTTCCAGGTAAAACCCTTATCGCCTGCTCTACCATAAGCTGATTGTTAGAGTTCTCGGCTGATTTTTCTAATTTATGGCAAGGAACTCAGTTTTATAACAAGCCGCCAGGACCGGCCGTAGTAATCTATTGTTAAGGAAATTAACTTTTACGCAATGAGGTACTATCATAAAACCGAATTAAAACTGGGGATCCTGAATTCAATACACATGATTACTAAAAATTCATTGTAATATTATTGTTAATATATATTTTGCTTTGTTAATTAATAAAACTAATAATAGACATATTTATAATAATAATAAAAAATATATAAAATACAGTTTTTGTTTAACACGTATAAGTAGCTAAGTGTATCTAGATCTACTACTTATCCCAGAAAGGAGGTGTTTTAAAAAAGCCCTACGCCCAGTAACTTCTCCCTTCATTGTTTAGTCGAAAAAAGTGCTCGTATATGTTTTCATTTGCCGAGAGATCATTTTCAAAATATATTTATAATAAAAATATGCAAGTCTTGGTGATGAAAAATGTACTCCTAATAAATTATTAAAGTACATAAAAAACTAGAAACAAATGTTATTTATTTTAAAAAAGTCTCTCGCAAAGGCAGGTTCCTCTTTCTTCTTGAATCAATTATTTCGGGCAATAATGGGCCAAAGTAAAATCTGCCAAGTTTATCTGCCATCTTTTTACATATATTTCTTCATCTTTATCAATTTTTTCTATATTAATTCCTTTGGGTGTCCACACAACAAAATAAACTTGTGAAATACCCGTAACAAGCATTTGTCCCTGGACTTGAAAGTAGTAATCATGATGTTTTTTAGTTCCAATTCTCTGTCTGTCAATATACAAAATTTGAATTTTTTTTCTAACCGCTTCTTCGGGAGACAAATCTTGCGATTTTGAAGGGCATTTAATTTCGACTAATGCACCCCTATCCTCTAGAACCCTGTCTGGACTAGCAGCCAAGTAAAGAAATTCTTTTGAAATAAAGACACACCGTTCAGTTTTTATATTTTTATTTATTTCAAAACATTTGACAGCTTTTTCCTCACTTTGCTGTCCATAGTATGTATGACTATTACCTCTAAATGTACTGTACAACAGAGACTCCACAGTTTTAGTATTTCTGTAGTCGGTCTAAGTTTGTAAATACGTCCAAAATTTGAAGCCGTAACCCTAATTTCTCTTTCTTTTGCCCAAATGTGCCTGTTGCCTAGTGTCTATTTCAATTTGGTCTAAATTCAAAGATAATTTTCTCAAAAAAACGTCTTTGGCTGTCACAAATGTTTCTACATCCATGCCAGGATTATCTAACAAATATTTAAACCATAATCGCAATCGGGACCAGCATACGTACATTTTTTTATGACATATTTTTTTACGAATACTTTGTCTAAGACGAGCTTGTTTCATAGACGAACAATATTTTTTTGTTATTAAACCAGGACCGTTTTAATCACAATATATTTACTTATCCCCTCTAAAAAATTTATGACGTTACCTCAAAATTTTGCTGAATAAATCCAATCTGAAATGTACAAAATATGATGAGTCTCTTCTTGCACTTTATCATCCCATTCATATATTTTGGATTCGGATATATAGGGTTACTCACAAAATTTAATGAATGCGCAAATTTATTTTATTAATTTAATCAGGAACTACAAAACCGAATACTTAGAACTCTTGGAAATGTTTTAAATTTGTCATAAGCATGTAAATTTAATATCTTTTTATTTTATTTATTATCAAAATATATTTGCTCATCCCTTCTAAAAAATGGATGACGCCACCCCAAATTTTACTAAATAAATCCTATCTAAATTGTATAAAATATTATGAGTCTCTTCTTGTGATTTATCATTCCATTCATGTTTTTTAGATTTGCATGTACAGGATGACCCCAAAAATTAATTAATGCGTAAATTTATTTTATTGATTTAATCAGGAACTACAGAACCCAATGCTTTGAAATCTTGCGAATGTTTTAAGGTTATAAAGAGCATAATAAATTTTTAGTCAAAATATATTTGCTTATCCCCTCCAAAAAAATGATGACGTCAGCTCTAAAGTTTGCTGAATAATCCTATTTAAAATGTACAAAATATGATGAGTCTCTTCTTGTAATTTATCATTCCATTCATATTTTTTGGATTCGGATATACAGGGCGACTCAAAAAATTTAATGAATACGCAAATTTATTTTATTGATTCAATCAGGAACTACAAAACCGAATGCTTTGAAATCTAATGTGAAAAAAAAATATAATAGGCATGCAGTCGTCACGTTTCCGATAGCGAGGGAAGTACTGTCTAAACTCTTTAGACCAATTTTTTTGATTTTCCCATTTCTCAATTTTTCAATGTTTCAGTTTTTGATTTTTTCACTGTTTCAATTCTCTAATTTTCCTTCCATTTTTAGGTTTTTCAATATTTCAGCTTTGGAATTTTGCAATATTTCGTTTCTTCAATTTTTCAAATTTTTTATTTTGATCGGTTTTTTAATTTTTCGATATTTTAATTTTTCAGTTTTTAAATTTTTAGGTTTTTAGATTTCTCACTATCTCGACTTTTCGATTTTTCAGTTCCATGATTTTTCAATTTATCGAATTTTTAAATTTTAGATTTTTTGTTTTCTTTGATGTATTGAGTTTTCGATCATTCGATTTTCTGAGTTTTCAGGCTTATATTTTTTTTTTGTTCAATCCTTGGATTTTGAAAATTTTTGTTTTTTTATCAACTTACTGGGATTTCAATGTTTTGATTTTTTGATTGTTCAATTTCTCGATTTTTTGAATTTTTAGTTTTTGATACGAATTTTTTTTCAAAAATTTTCAGTTTTTCAATTTATTAACTTTACGGTACTTCAGTTTTGCCCGATTTCGATTTCTCAATTTTTCGACATATTACTGTTGGGATTTTTCAATTTATCGATTCTTCATATTTTCGGTTTCTCGAATTTCTTCATTTTTCGATTTCTCAATTTTCCGGTGTTTCAGTGTTACGATTTTTAATTTTTTTATTTTTCAGTTTTCAATTTTTGACGTTTCTAAATTTTTCGATTTCTCAAATTTTCGATTAACTGATTTTTTGATTTTCCCGTTTCTCTATTTCTCGATTTTTCAATTCTTTCTTCAATTGTGATTTTTCAATTTTTCCATTTCTGAATTTTTAAATGTTTCAGTTTTGGATTTTTCTATTTTTCTGAATCCTCAATTTTCTTTCCGTTTTTCAGTTTTTCCAGATTTCAGTTTTGAATTTTTCATTTTTTCGATTTTTCAATTTTCGTTTCATTTTTCAGTTTTTCAGTATTTCAGTTCTGGGATTTTGCAATGTTTCGGTTCTTCAATTTTTCCATTTTTTGATGTTTCGATGTCTCGGTTTTTCAATTTTTCGGTAGGTATTTTAATTTTACAATTTTGAAGTTCTACATTTTCCGTTAATTTTTTTGCTTTCATTATGTTTTGATTTCTCGATTATTCGATTTTTCAAGTTCTCGGTTTAGATTTTTTGGTTTTCCAATTCTTCGATTTTTAAATTGTTCAATTTCTCGATTTTTCGGTTTACCGATTTTTTTTCATAAAAAATGTTTCAATTTTTCAATTATTAACTTTTCGATTTTTCAATTTTGGTCTAATTTGATTTCTTAATTTTTTGATTTTTGACTCCTCTACTGTAGATGTTTTGATTTCCCGATGTTTAGTTTTTGAACATTGCGATGTTTCGATTTTTCGACTTTTTGGCTTTTCGAATGTTCAATTTTTTGATTTTTGAATTTTAGATTTTTGTTTTTTTAAATTTTTTAGTATTTCGGTTTCCCAATTCTTCAATTTTTCGATATTTTAATTTTTCAATTTTTCGAATTTTTAAATTTTGGATTTTTCTTTTCTTTTATTTCTCAATTTTTGGATTTTTAAAATTTTACATTTTTCGATTTTACTATTTTTTGATGCTTGGATTTCTCAATTTTTCAAGTTTTCAATACTCATTTTTTCAGGATTTGAATATTGAGAACTTTTCAATTTCTGGATTTTCAATTTTCAGATATTTTAATATTTTGGTTTTTTAATGTTTCGATTTTTGGGTGTTTTGATTTTTCGATTTTTAAAGTTTTTGCGGGAGTATTATTTGTTGTGCTGCACTTGACGGGCGAGGGAAGTTCTGTCGAAATAACCTTCGACCAATTTTTATACTTAGCACATAGGGTTCTTACTAAGCATTCCTTATTTAACCGAACAGTTATTAATTTAACTAAGCAGCTATTATTTCACCAAGCATATATTATTGTTAATGAGAATGTATTTTTTAACTGAGTATTTATTATATAACTTAGGATTTATCATTTTTACCGAGCAAAAATACAGAGCGTTTAAAAATAGAACTGTGCATTTAATTTGTTCCCTTATCTAAATAACAAGAAAACGGTATTAATAATACATTTAGGCGAATAAAGTAATAGACGGACTTGACAAGCCTTGTTTGCTATACAGTGTCTAAATTGTGTTTGAATAATATAATAATTATATCCAATATTAAAATTAATATGTCAAAAGAATACGAGAAATGATTATTCTGTGCTGAAGGTATGTTGTGGGCCGCCTGTCATAAATTATCATTTTGGTCGATTTAAAGAAGAATTGCTGGTTGCGTTTAAGGCAACAAATGGCGCCCAATTCAAACTTGTCTCTCGTCTAGCGTTCCCCCTAAAATGCAACATTCACTGATTCATTAGAGATAAGTATAATGTGATATATGTTATGTCGAGAGAACATAATCAAAGACATTTGACATTTACCCAACCTGACAAATGGACATGCGCAGAACACATTTTTATTTAATTTAACACGAAAACAGACGAAAAGATGAGAGTAGAGCATTTGCTATTTGGACAACTATAGAGTTAAATTGGTTGTGCCTAAACACTCCCGCATGATTTTAGGAATTTAATTTTTTCTTAAGTTACGTTAAGTTAAATCTTAAATTTTTGTGCATGAACCCACGATGAATTAATTGTTACAACAAAATTTAACTTTGTATTTGTCACAATACAAATACGCACGACAGTTAACGAATATGTATGGAACGCAACACACGTACGAACTTTAAACGTAAAAACTTGTAGTCATTATTCTGTTTAGTAGTTCTCATATATGTTCTCATAAAAGAAAAGCGTCTTTTATCTTCGAATAACAGTTGTCAGAGTCAACAATAATTAACAACACGTATCGCAGACCTCTTCAACATTATTATAATAATTACAAATGTCAGTTCGGCGATTGTTGGTATTTGACACTTAACGGTATGTCAGCTGTCTAGATCGTAATTAATGGGAGATTCGAGGTTATGAGTGGTGCGACGTTATTGACATTACAACACCCAACATAAACGCAAGTGCGGAAACATGGAGCGTAAATCTGTTTGTGATAAATTCTTGTGAGCGCGTAGTTCGCGATGGTGAAAGAACGATGCTGCAAAATTCGGCAACACAAAATCGTCGAAAAAACTGCTAACAAAGATATCGACTGAACGCGACCCTGAACATCGCGTCTTGTCGCGAGCAGAGCCGCCGCCGCGCAGTGTAGTGAGCAAATGTTTAGCAATCATGGCGAATCCGAGAAAGTTTAGTGAAAAAATAGCCCTTCATACTCATCGACAAGCCGAGGAAACGGCCCGATTTGAGCAAATTATGAAAGAAGTGTCGGATGCAACGGCTAGGGTACGTAATAACCACTTATAACCTCTCTGAAGTGTGCGTTTTCGCCTAGCACTCGGCGACGTAAACAATAAAACCTGGCCTGCAGTGATAGGTAATACAGAGTGGACCCTCGAGATGCTTTGTTTATGTCGGATTCGTGACGAAACGGTACAGTTTTTCGACAATCGATAGCCAGAAATTTCACTTTTTGACAACGCTTAAGCTACGATACGAGCTGGTGATTTACACTTCAAACGAGTGGATCATGTATTATTTATTATTCATCTGCAAGACAACTAGTTTTTTGGGTACTCGAAGTCTGCATAACAGGTGTATTTCCTTTCACAATCATAATCGAACCGTACTCTGATAACAACGGTGCTGTAAACAGCCAATTATACAAATTAAACAACTATGATTTATTATTCTTGTTTATAAATGTTAATTAAAATTTTTGAGAAACCTCACATCAGCTGTCGTCTATCGAGTAGTTCCGTCATTCCCATATTCATTTTTATAAAGTGTGACAAGTATAAAGTTGCGATATCTTTGTTTATTATCGCGAGATAGGAGTCTCGTAGTTTAAAAGTAACGTAATTTCGTATTTATTCCCTTGTAGATTTTATTAAGTTTCAAATTCCATTATACGAAAGATAAAAGAGAAAACACAAGTTCACATTGAATTTGTTAAAATATTCAAATCGGATTTTTAACGCGTACGGGAAGAATTTCGACTAAACGCTTTTATCTGAAGACTTCCTACACTTGTTTTAGGTATTTGTTATTGTTTGCGTAACAAGTACGGGAAGCAGTGCTTCACATGGTGAAGTGTACGAAGTTTGCCGAGTGCTTGTAAACGAATTAGCTTAAAAAGCACCTCCCACTTGTGTTATGAACACTTTTTTTTCAGTTATGTCGTTTTATATTCCGTCATTGTCCGATTAGGAACAGAATGGAAAACGGAAAACCCTAAAAGGGACATGGTGAAGGCGGGAAATGCTTCAAAAAAATTAATGAATGATGAAAACATGTTTGTCGTTTCCGTTATTTGTGAGTTTAGTATAGGTTGGACCCCTTTGCTACTATTATTACAACCACAGTCAACACAAACTTTGTTTGCATTCCATCAATTCATAAGGTCTCATTTAATAGCAGGAATAGATTTTAGACAACATATTGCAATAAAACAGAAGAGAATCTCTTACCGAGTAGCTCAAATGTAACACTAAAATTTATCTATTGTCTTGTTTGCGATCAGATCACTGAGCAGCCAATTCATGTCTGATGAATTTTGGCGCCAATTTCTTTTGAACAGAAAATAGTACTTAAGTACGTTTAAAAGCTGTTTTTACTTCCCGAGCGTAAGTAAAGGAAGTATTGTAATCGAGTCCGTCGGCCGACTCTCTACTTTTACGTTTTCTCGATCTTTCATGACCCCTAGAAGACGAAGAAATAGGTCTCCCATTTCCGTCTGTCTGTCCGTCTGTCCGTCCGTCTGTCCGTCTGTTGTCCCGGATTTTTATTAGACAGATAATCTCCGAAAGTACTCGACCGATTGTTGTGAAATTTTGTACTTATATTAAGAATATCATGTAGATGGTAAAACGCTAACCAAAATTTGTCTAATCATCCCCACCACTAATGCGATGACGTCACTTCAAAATTGTACATAGTAAATGGGTTTTCAATTGTATAAAATAACATAGTCCTACACATGTAGTTTACAACTCTGAATCGACTTTTCACCCGAAACGTCCAGATTTTTGGAAAAAAAATCAAAATTATAAAACAACATTTTGAAATTTAATTTTTAATCTGCTAACCAGAATGCTTTGAAATGTTGCAGATGTTTTAAGGCTATAAAGAGCATCATAAATCTTTAGTCAAAAAATATTTGCTTATCCCCTCCAAAAACTTGATGACGTCAGCTCAAAAGTTTGTGGAATAAATCATATCTAAAATGTACAAAATATGATGAGTCTGTACTTGTGATCTATCACTCCATTCATATTTTTTGGATATACAGGGTGACTCAAAAAAAATTAATGAATGCGTAAATTTATTTTATTGATTTAATCAGGAACTACAAAACCGAATGCTCTGAAATCTTGCAGATGCTTTAAGGTCATAAAGAGCATAATAAATGTTTAGTCAAAATATATTTGCTTGTCCCCTCCAAAAACTTGATGACGTCAGCTCGAAAGTTTGCCGAATAAATCATATCTAAAATGTACAAAATATGATGAGCCTGTACTTGTCATTTATCACTCCATTCATATTTTTTGGATTTGCATATACAGAGTGACTCAAAAAAATTAATGAATGCGTAAATATATTTTATTGATTTAATCAGGAACTACAAAACGGAATGCTCTGACATCTTGCAGATGTTTTAAGGTTATAAAGAGCATAATAAATGTTTAGTCAAAATATATTTGCTTATCCCCTCCAAAAACTTGATGACGTCAGCTCGAAAATTTGCCGAATAAATCATATCTAAAATGTACAAAATATGATCAGTCTGTACTTGTGATCTATCACTCCATTCATATTTTTTGGATTTGCATATACAGGGTGATTCAAGAAAATAAATGAAAGCGTAAATTTATTTTACTGATTTACTCAGGAACTACAAAACCGAATGCTTCGAAATCTTGAAGATATTTTAAAATTATCATAAGCATGGTAAATTTTTGATCAAAACGTATTTGGTCGTCCCCCCTAAAAAAATTATGATGTCACCACAAAATTTTGCTGAAAAAATCCTATCTAAAATGTACAAAATATGGTGAGTCTCTTCTTGTGATTTATCATTCCATTCAAATTTTTTCGATTTACATATACAGGGTGACTCAAAAAAATTAATGAATGCGTAAATTTATTTTATTGATTTAATCAGGAACTACAAAACCGAATGCTTTGAAATCTTGCAGATGTTTTAAGGTTATAAAGAGCATAATAAATTTTTAGTCAAAATATATTTGGTTATCTTCTACAAAAAACTGATGACGTCAGCTCAAAAGTTTGCCGAATAAATCGTATCTAAAATGTACAAAATATGATGAGTCTGTACTTGTGATTTATCATTCCATTCATATTTTTGGATTTGCATATGCAGGGTGACTCAAAAAAATTAATGAAAGCGTGAATTTATTTTATCGATTTAATCAGGAATTAGAAAACCGAATGCTTTGAAATCTTGGGAATATTTTAAAGTTATTATAAGCATGGTAAACTTTTGTTCAAAATGTATTTGTTCATCCCTCCTAAAAAAATTGATGACGTCACCCTCAAATTTTGCTGAATAAATCCTATCTAAAATGCAAAAAATATGATGAGTTTGTACTTGTGATTTATCATTCCATTCATATTTTTTAGATTTCCTTAAGATGTGGTTCAAAAAAATTAATGAAGTCAATTTATTTTATTGATTAAATTAAAGGCAACACTTATTATTAGTATTACACCCCAACCAACCCAATTTGGTAGACACAAAATTTGTTAAAGGAAAAACTCGGTTGAAACATAAGGGTAGCACGCTTATTTACATCGACTTTAACATTACAGACCTGCATTTGTTTTATGCGCTCATTTGGTTCCGCGAATGTGAAATAGACATGTTTATAATCAACCAATTGTGAATTTCACCGTCAAGAATTAAAATAAAACCCAATGTTTTATATAATAATCGGAAGTCGAAGCAATAAAACCGATGGTCGTTTTGTTTACAGTTTCTCTGTTTGACTCTCACGTATGCTGTTACGCCTGTCATCTTAAATTAAGAATGTTTATACATACACGATTTTCAGTTGCTTCTGATACGTATACGTGAGTAAATTGTTTCGTTATTTTATTGATTATTACAAATCAATATTCAAAACGACCCAATTCATTTTCCCGAAAATTTGAGAATATAATAATTTTATTCTTAGTATTACACTACATCTATCCCAACTGATATACGTGTCCTTGCAAAAATGTTGATGACGTCATCGCAATTTTTTTTTTTAATTCCCACTACAAAAATGTAATGAGAAAAAAAACACAATAGGCATGCAGTCGTCAAGTTTCCGACAGCGAGGGAAGTACTGTCTAAACTCTTTAGACCAATTTTTTTGTTTGTAATTTATTTGACCGTTTCCGTCTGTCTGTCCGTCTGTCTGTCTGTCTGTTGCACCGATTGTTGTATGTATATTAGGAATATCTTGTAGATGGTTAAACTCTCACTAAAGTTTGGATAATCTTCTCCACCACCTTTGGGATAACGTCATCTCGAAAATTTATAATAAAGTTTTTTTAAATTTTATAAAATAAGATACTTTTGCAATTGTGGTGTGTGAATCCATGGCGAATTTTCACCCAGAATTCTTGGAAAAAATTCAAAACTGAGTAACAATATTCTGAAATCTTGTAAATATTTTAATCGTGGTAAATCGTTAAGCAAAATTTATTCGTTTGGCCCCTTCCAAAAAAACGGTGACGTCATCTCAAAATTTTGCCCAATAAATCCCTTCCAAAATTTGCAAAAATATGCACAATGTCAGTTCTAGAAATTACAGAAATTCTAAAATTCTGACCAAATTTGTGGAAATTTGTGTTCTGAAAGTCTCAAATATTCTAGCCCTTTCGATGGTTTTCAGGCTTTCAAGGATGCCAAAAACTATTGGGACTACAAGGATTTCAGGAATTTCAAAAAATTAAATAAGCTAGAGAAGCCGGTAATTTAAAAATTCGAAAGGGATTTCAGGAAAATCTGAAAACTCTAAAGATTATAGAAATTCTAGTGATTCTAGATTCTAGAGATTAAAGATTCCAAAGTTTCCAGTGGTTTGAAAGATTCAAAAAGTATAAAAGCTTTCACGAATTACATACACTAGAAATTGCGAATTCTAAAGACACTTAAGATTGTGAATAAACTAAAGTTCTAATATTTAAACTCACCATATTTTGTACATTTTAGATAGGATTTATTCGGCAAACTTTTGAGTTGACGTCATCAATTTTTTGGAGGGGATAAGTAA